GTGACTCAACCACTTCTCTAGGCAGCCTGTTCCAATGCTTGACAACCCTTTTGGTGAAGAAAATTTTCCTAATATGCAGCCTAAACCTCCCTTGGTGCAACTTGAGGCCATTTCCTCTCATCCTATCACTTGTTTATTGGGAGAAGAACGTCCTTTCAGGTAGTTGTAGAAGGCAATAAGGTCTCCCCTGAGCCTTCTTTTCTCCAAGCTAAACAACCCCAGTTTCCTCAGCTGCTCCCCATAAGACTTGTGCTCTAGACCCTTCAACAGCTTAGCTGTCCTCCTTTGGATAGGCTCCAGCACCTCAGTGTCTTTCTTGTAGTGAAGGCCCCCAAACTGAACACAGTGTTTGAGGTATGGCCTCACCAGTGCCGATTAAAAATGATATGCTGTGGAAGTGCTGGATGGAAAATAATAATGCCTCTCCTTTCCAACATACAGTTTGCATCTTCTTTAAGTGAGACATGTCCCATCATTTGAAATCTGATCATAGATAAATTCTTTTGTTCTTTCCCCCTTTTCATGTAGTGCTCACCAGAATGTGACTGTTTTCCACATGATGAATTATGATTTTCTAAATAATGTTTGTCTTAATAAACAGCAGAAAAAAATCTTGGATTTCTAAAGCCCGGTCCCTTTGGTTTGCATTTTTTTGTGATCTGTGACCTTCCTAAAAATAAGTAAATTAATCCAGTGGATGATTGCACCTACTGGTGATAAGTTGAAGGTTACTGACATGATGGTTACTTTTCTTAATTATTGTCTTTCAGATCCCTTAAAAGTTGTTCACGAAGACTAAAGGGTCTGCAGAAAGATTGAAAGCTAATGTCTTAGAGTATCCCCTAAATAGATGGGGTTTTTTTAAATACAGATGGGTTTTTTTTTGGCGCAGATATTTTCATAAGTCTTAAGCTTTTATTTAACAGTTTTTCTTCTTAATATATGATTGCATAATTGTGTCTGTGACTAAACTTAGCAAGCCAGAAGCACGATTTCTGTAAAAGTTTCAAATTCAGTAATTAATTAATAAGTCTTTCAGCACCTGGCAATACAAATAGGTTAGGTAGCAAGATCACCATAACAATAAGAAAATAAAGTATACTTCTTTTTTTTGGTTAGATGGTACATTTTAACAGCAAACTATTTTGTGTTTCTTTCTTGGGCAGGTTTTTATAGTGGATGTAGAGATCACTCTTTTAGTTAGTCAGTGTTGGTCCCTAAAAATTGGCTCTAATCTTTTTGCTTGTCACATGTCATTTTATCTTTAAAGACTGCAGGAGGTCATGATTACTGAGAGGTAACACCTTGAAGTTTTGGCACTATCCTCTACAAAGTAACTTCTACTGAGTTGACTTTCTGTTATCATGTTAGTGAAACACCAAGAGTCGATACTATGTGTGAAACAACATTTGATATAATGGCTATTAAGTTGAAAAAAAATCTTGTAAAGATGGATTCTGTGTTTAGAAAAAACGGCACCTAAAAATGTATGTCATGGATATAGGTAATAAATGTTGTTTATGAATTACTACAGGAGAAAAAACATCTTACATTTGTGTACAATATACTAGTCTTTAGCTATTTTTATCTTCTAAATATCTTATCATAAGCTGGTTGTAAAGTATTTAAAGACATGAATCATTTGTTGAAGCATTCAGTGCATCATTTAAAATGGCTACTAAAGGAGAGAAGTGGACATGCACTTCTTATAGTAGCTAAGCATAAAAATAAAGTATCAGAGATAATAATATAGTTCCAAATCAGTAAAAATCAGTATTATGTTTTGCCGCATAAACAGAGATCTTCACAGAATGGTGAAGATTACAGTTATCTAAATAGATTTTTATTGCTAAACTTTATTGTGGAGATTATATATCTTTGTTGGAGATGAGAGAACACAAACACTTAAATTTTAGGTCCTTGATCTTCAGCCATGCTAAAAGCTTTCAGGACTTGGTATTTCAACACAGTATTGATCCACAGCCCTTTTAATTTTTGAAATTTCAGAAATTATGAGGGTGAGTAGGAAAAAGCAAATGTGAAAGGAAGAAATTGAAATGAAGAGGAGGAAGTTATTTCCCTTTACAGAAGGAAGGGAAAGATGAAAAACAATGTAATGAGCATAGGAGAAATAATAGGGTGAAAAGGGAAGAGTCAGGTAAGTATTTACACTAATATTTTGTATTTAGTGCTCAGACATGTTATGCTTTATGCATGCATAAATGTGTGCATGGAAATCGGATTGAGACTTCAGCTTTCTGACTAAGTGCTATGCTGAACTGTATTTTGTTCTCTGTGCATTTTTGCTTTACCACGGTTGCTTCTAAAGAAGGCTTTAAATTGACTTTCAGAGCCAACCTGAATCACAAAATACATTATCCTACTAGAAAATTATGACTGCGCCAAGGTTCTGTATTCCTAAGTCAGATTTTAAAAAGCCCAGTATTAGACATCAAAAAATCAAAGCCAAATTTTTATATATACATATTTCTGTTGTTAATCCTCATCACTAGCATTTGGGGCAGGGCACAGGCAGGCAGACAATAACACTTAAGAGTGACAAAATATGTGTGCAAAACCTAATTGTAATAATGCTGAAATTGAAAATTGAAACTGCTAATTAATCATTCTTCATTAGGACTAGGCAAAATCAATTAACTCAGAACCAAATGTAACTGTATAACATTGGATTACTTACACTGGCTTTCACTACAGGTTAGACATCAATGTGTGGATTTCATCCATAAGCTGTAATAAAATACAATAAATTAGGAAATTGGCAAAAAAAGTTTAATTCAGTGACTTGTTCATTTATGTGCTTGGTTACTGGATGATTCCCATGAGTATATATAGTATTGTGGCAGACTAAATATTTAGGGAAATGATGTACTTCTTAAACTGAGCAGTTAACATTTATATAGTGACTATAACTGGTCTTCATGAATTACCATGCTAAAAACTTGCTTATTTTTTAAATACAGAGACAGAGACCTCCCATTTTCTTATATTCACTTGGTGGTATGCATAAAACACTTTATCTGTCCACATGAGCAGTCCTTTAATATAACTGAGCCCTGAGCCAATGTACAGCAGAGTAGTATCCCCTCTAAAACTGCCCCATTGCTGACTGGGGACAGAAAGAGTGAAAGTGGGTGGAGCAGGGAGAGGCCTTATGGTGCAATTCACAGATAATTTTGGAGTAGTAACATCTGCTTTCTGGAAGGTAGTGTATTAATATCTGCTGATAGAGAGAGATAGGTCTGCATAAGAATTATGCTATAAATTGCTGTGTGATGGGGTTCCCTTTCCAGTGCAGCAAATGTGTCACTGGGCAGCAGTTTTTAAGGTCACCCAGTGAAGATAGCAATACTGAAGGACTGACATAGCTATACTCTTTATGTAAATTCTAAAAGGAAAATTAAATTAAATTCAGATACAGCTTTTAGAAGTTTAAAATAAGAAACTTCACGATATATTTTATAATTAGCCCTGTTATGTTGTTTTGCATTAGTGTTATGCTATTTCATGTTACATGATTCTAGAATTGTTTAGATCTCATAAATTCTCAAGTGCAATATCGTATTTCAAGTGGACCAATATTTAGATTTGGAAAATGTATTTTTAATTGCATTGTAACTGATGACTTTGTGTTGTTCTCATGTAATAGACAGTATCAGGATGACTGTATTCTGAAATAGTCATTAATAGGTCTCCAATGAGGTATGAATTGCACAGTCCCAGGATTGTGCCTGTCACACTTTCCGTACTAACAAGAAACCACAGACTGTGAATTGTCCCTTTGGTATATATTTCAGCCCCCAGATCAGTTCCCAGGAGGAAGGCTTCCCATCCTCTTCTCTGGTTATTTATGCTTTGGTACTGCAGTTCTGTAAGAGCAGAGTCTTGGTTTTGCGTCTGGGCTGGCAAGCTGGTGAAGGTGGTATGAAGAGGTTCACCCCACAGACCTGCTCCACACTGAAGCTTCCTGCACAGAGACTGGGCCGTATACCAACTTTAAAACCACCCCTTCACCCATGACTCTTGTATTTAATTATAGTTAATTTAAAATAATCCTTATAATGTAAGTGTTCATGACCATGACATAGGATTTCAGCATTTTTTCCACAACAGTATTGACTGTATTTACTAACAAATTACTGAAATATCAGCAATGCCATTTTAAGTATCAGTTAAATTTGTTATTTCCTGAATTGGATCTTAATGTTGGGAATATAGAATCTCAGTAATGTCAAGCTTTGATTTTTACTTACAGCAGATAAATTTAAAGCCCCAGTAGTACATAATTAGTCCTAATAGAAAAGCTAACTTTATTTGGGTCAGACTTCATTTTTTTGCTCAGTATAGTGAACACAAGTAATGTTCAGTAATAAAAAAATACTATGCAGTCTCAAACCTATTACATGTTCTGTGCAGATGAAAGTAATTAGTAAATTTTCTTTGTTCAGAGTAAAGGAAGTCGAAAATATGCTGTTTCTCATATTATTTTAATCCAAATGTTGTTATCCATAAGTATTCAGCTTAAATTCAGCTAGGTTCACAAATACCTAGTGAACTTCACAAAATTAATTACATTTCAAATATGTGATTCAGAGTCTAAGATTCAGACCTTAGGATGGGATGAATCGCCCTCTGGAGGTGCTCATTTCAATCTGCTGACTTCACAGGAGTCCTGCTTTGAACTGTCTAGCTCAAACTAAAAGTTAATTGAGTGGCCTGTCACTTTAAGATTGGAATAACTGAGCGTTTCATACCATACTAGGTCTTTTGTGTAGACCTCTTTAAGAATGGCTGTCTTATTCCTCACCTTTTCTGTCAGTGTTCTTCTTGTACTGTTTCTAAAATAAATAAGCACAATTGTTACTGTTGCTATTTCCTGTGTATTTTGGTTTTTTCCTGTCCTTTTCAATCTTGTTATCTTATCTTGCCCTGTTTTTGTTTTTGTTGTTTTTTTTTTTTTCCTCTTTCCTGACACTTTATAGCTACCATCTCTTCTGAAGCTTTTCACTTGCTACCTCTCTGACCATCCTACCTTCCATGTTGAGAATACTGTCCTAACTTCTGATGTGGAAGACTGCTGACCTTTTCCTTTGATGCTGATACCAGTATTTTCTATGGGAGATAGTACTGTAGTGAAGACATAGAAAAAGAAGAATATGGCATTTGTCAATTTTTTATAGTTTTGAATATAGTTAAGCAAAATTGTTCTTCTGTCTTCATATAAAATGTGCTGGTTTCGTAATGTACTTGTAATTTGAAGATGTTTGTAGAAATGTAAAATCAAATGTGAAGAATACAAAATCTATATTAAAGACATTTAAATTTAACAAAATATAGCATTAGTCTTTATTTTAAAAATTGAGTCCTACATGGCTCACTTGCAAAAAGTGGGATAGATTTAAAAAGTTGTGTACTGGTAAAGTCTGACTTACTAAAAGGTGAAATTATTTTCTTCCTCCCTACGGTAATATTTTCTTGATTTATACCTATTAAAGATCTCTCCTTCTCTTGAGTTCTCTGTTTTCTCCTTTTTTTTTTTTTTTTTTTTTTTTTTTCTTAACTCTTTTGGTTTGGTACCAATCCATTTTTCTCTCATATATGCATCCGTTTGCCTAAAGTATTGCCCTAAGCATGATCATATATATTCAAGAATATATAAATATTACTTCTAAACACTGGATAGATCTGCTATTTTAGGACTTCAGTAAATCAGCTGAAAAACTTAACAATTCAGTGACAGCATTTAAAGTTTTTTAGGACATGTGCTTTCATAGGATCAAAGTACCTAGTCTCCTAAATCAATGGAATAATAATTATGGGCAGAGATAAACATTCCTGTAAAAATATAGACTTATGGTACTTATTCAATATAGGAACGCCAACTTGAAAACAGCATCTGAATAAAGGCAAACATGCTGCATTCATAAATGGTATGGCAGAAGTTTTCAGATTTTATTTGCAGATAAAGAGAAATGCTAATAGAAAGAGTGCTTTGTATTGATAGTAAGATAAGTAGATAAAGTTTAAAAAAAAAAAGACAACTAAAAGATGTACATCCATAAAACCTGAAGAATTTTTGCAAATCATGCTTTGTTATAGCAGAAATATTAAATAAAAGTTAATGTTTTCTTAGGGGTAGTTGCCTACATATTTTGTAAATGTTCTTTAGATAATCTGAATTCCTTGGGTTCCAATTAAAAGAATGCCAAGTATATGATAAAACATAAACAGTGAATTCAGAACTTTTCGTTTTAGAACTGTAAAATATGATTCTGAAGCCTCTTCTGATACTTACAGTAATTTGCAATAATGGTAATAATAACTTACTAGAAAATACTTGGAGGTGTGGCTGAGAATGTAATTTATGGTGCTTAAAAGTTTTTTAACTAGCGTAGTTATAAGCAGGACTTTGCATAATTTTGAGCCCATTAAAAAAATCATCTTCTTTGCTAGATTCATTTACTGGGCATGATGATGACATTACAGACAAGGATTAGAAAGCAGAACAAATTTGGAATCTCTAGAACAGTTGCACAGATGATGAGTTTTTGTGTGTACAGTTGCATCAGTAAGTTTTTTGTTAGAATGAATCAACGGCAACTACTACCATATGAAAATTATCCATAGAAAAAGAAAGAAGGAGTATTAAAAACTATGTAAAACCTATTAGGATTTTCTGGATTATATCCTCAAATGGTATAAATTGGCATGCATGAAGTTAAGTCACTATTGCTTACTGAAGATTTGTCCTTCCTATTAAATATATAGTACAATACAGATCCTGAAATAGTTCCTTACTTAATACTTGTATTCATTTTAAAGTAGAGTAGTTATGGAATAAGGTCTTACTCATCATGAGAAATAATACAATTCTAACAATGGCATATTATTGTTAGAAGGAAGTACATCAAACTGACTTGAATTAACATAGTTTTAGAAAAATGTCTTTAGTTTTGAGAGTTCTGTATTGATATCACTTGTTAAGTTACAAAGCTATTGCTTATTTAATAGTACTACTAATCTAAAATTTAGAGTTGAAGTTTGAAGATAAAATTATTCTTACACTTAAGTTTATGTACTTTTGATTTGCAATTTTTGGGTGATAATGTCTCAAAAAAAACCCCCCAGAGTTAAAATGTCTATCTTTTAAATATATGAAGAACAGTGAGGAAAGCATAGCTGGAAATACTAACAAAACAGGAAAGATTTTTCAGCAAATGAGTAAGTGTAACCATAGGGAAACACTTGCAAGAGGAGAATAAAGTTGAGTGAATGTAGCTACATTAAGATGTGAAAACATACTTAATCTATAAAGTCCTGCAGGAAATAATAATGAAAAATTAGGTCTTTCTGTTCATAAACACAGCTTAGGTACATGTGGTCTTGAGAGGTGCAGTACCACTACATATTCCATGAAATGTTCTTTGATCTCATTACAAACAAGTCTGGCTAAGACATAAATAGAATATAACTATCTGTTGCTGTATAAGGAAGATAAGGTGAGGGAAGCATAATTTATAAAACAACCATCCTGTTTGCAAATCCTGCAATTCATGTGGCTGGCAGACACAAAAATCATTTCACAAATGAAAACAGAACATGCAAAATCCGTGAAGATTGTGTTGAAGATTTGTTTCATTTGACTTTCGGATTATGAGGATCTCTACGATTATGATATATATATATGTATATATATATATATATATATATACACACATAAAATATGTATATTATACATATATTGCTATGTATATGAAAATGAATGTGTGAAGAGCTGTAAAAGGAATTTGAGTTACATGCAAGAAATGTTTCAAAATAGGCTACAGGGGGATATTTTTGTACAGTACTTAAAACAACCAAAAGAAGTAATGAGAGTTAATTCAGTCCTGGATCTGATAGTGATCAGGAAAAAAAAAAAAAAAAAAAAAAAAAGATGTGAAATGAAGACCTTATGGATGTACAAGTGTAAAATACTTCTGGTTTACAAAGAGACCATCAAAAGGGTAAACATATTGTGAAAATCACTGACAGAAATGTTAGTTTGAAGAGTAATAGCAGAAAGCTAGTTCAGCAATAACATTGCAATAATAATAATTAGAATAAGAGCAAGATTCCACTGTAAATAAATGTTTAGTGAAGTATAAAAGAGGAGAAAACAGAACTGAAAATAGTAACTTCAAGCTTGCCATTACGTAAAGATAAAACAGAAAGAAAGCTCTGACCATGTGATGCTATCAGAGAAAGCCTAATTATCCGCTCGGTATAGTTTTGCTAATATAATCTGAAAATATGTGAAAAATTTAAAGAAACACTAGAAGGCAGATTTTTTTCAAATTTCTTCAACTTTTTAATTTTTGTTCCCAATAGAGTAATACTGAATAAAAGGAAATCTGAGACCACTGTCTATAAATCAGATAATTTATTTGAAGTGATAATTGAAGAGACCGCAAACAAAAATTAAATTGAAAATATAGAAAAGTATCTGCAAATATGAAGGGGTCCGGATTCTGTACCCCTGTTCTTCCCACTGATCCGTTCCTACTCATAGGCTGAGAATTTGCTTGCCATGGGGAGGTTATGGTCAGCCTAATGCTGGTCTGTCCCTCTGCTGTGCCAACAGCTCTCACCCTTCACACAGGTTTGGTAATGGGAGCGTCAAAAAGTACACCTACTCTCTACCAATTTTCAGCTGCATTTAATTTCTTAGATGACATCTGTACTAGAAAACAAAATGGACCGTAACCCAGTCAAGAGTTGGTAGCAAATTACAGCTCACATTGGCATGGCTAACGCATCAGCTCTCCTGAAACAGGGTGGCCTCGTTCATACTGCCTACTAAGAACAAGTCCCTAATCCATGCTGTTCCCCAATCTTACTGTGTTTTACCTGAGTACTTGTTGGCCTGGGCCAGAAGCATACCAAAGATCATGATAACATTTAAGTATCATGGATTGTCACATTGTAGAGCTCAAGCATGTGCCTGGGCCCTGTTTAGCTCAGTAACAGGGATGTAACTTTATGAACTACATCTGGTTGGCAATAATTACAACTGTACTAGCCTGCTCCAAATTAAAATCACAATGACATGAAAACCAAAAAATTTATAGGTGTCTTTCATACTAGTGGTTCTTGAACAGAATTGTCAATGAATGTGTAAATTTGGAGGTAATGTGTGACTTAAAAGAAAGCATAGAAAATCTGAAAAATCAGTAAATTAAGAAAGTCAGAGGAGGACAATAAAAGGCAGAACAGTACTGATGTGAAAGTATTTTTAAATAGAAACTGGAAAGCCCGTTAGATGAGTGAATATTCTTTTCAAAATAGCAAGGTTACAATAAAGAAGTCAGTATATGACCATTTGGGTAAATAGATTTAGTTCATTCTTAAAATGCAGTTTGGGTCCCACCTATGTGGACCTCCTTGTAGGATAAAACCCTGAAATATAATGCATTTCCTTATGGTGTTTTATTCTAAGACTTTTGAGAAAGACGATGCTGAAGTGGGCACACTTCAATATAAGATAGTGACCTCATCGTGCACATGATAAGTACTTTACTGAATATTTATACAGATTTCCAAAAAAGATATACAATAATATTTCGGAATTAATATAATCTCTCTATTACTTGGAGACTTTTCCAGTATGTGATGTGATTACTGTTAGGTTCCAAGTCATATTTTGACCTTTTCAGGTCGTAGAAAACTATGTGCAGGATGCACAAAAAGGGGAAATTCGTTACATTCATAGACTACTTTGTGACCTGGGATTAACTGCTTAAATCTGCAGACAGAAAATAAAAAGGGAAGGGAAAATGTGGCAAGTCAGACAATGTTGGAACATAATGTATTAGCATTCAGTTATTGTCTTTTAAGTTACTCAGAGGTAAAGAGAGGAAATAAACTGCTCAAATAAAAATTATATGCAGATTCTGAAAGGGGGTCAGTGCCTCAGGTGAGTGATGAGATTGTAAAGGTCATAAATGAAATAAATAAATTGAGGAAAATTTCAGGATGCTATAGATCAAAGGAAAATGGCCAGAAGTTGAGAAGAAGAGTTGGGAGTAGCTGCTTGGAAAAAATTATTGATAGGAAATTATTCTTAATGGAATACTGGGAAACAAATAGGCCACCATAACAACTATTCAGCAGTAAATTTGCCTATAGATTAAGTATTTGGAGAAGCAGTCCTGCAGAAATGCAGGCAGCTTTTCCAGAGGAACTAACTAGCTGTTCTGGCTTTGCTTGTATTGCCATCAACTGTATGTGCAACACAGTGGGGGACTATGTTGGGGAAAATCACTTCTGTAGTATGAATGTACGATTCAGTACTTCTGGCTTGCTTTGGCTTCAGTAGAGTTATGTTCTTGCAAATAATAGAAATATATTGTTGCAAATAATCAAAACTACATTAGAAAAAGCAAGAGGATATCAATGAAAAATACAAAAATCTAGAATTATATACACATAGATGGAGGAAAACATAAAGCAAATCTGTCATATATATTACATACCTAGCTGGAA